CCAAAGCCACAACGCTCACAGGCCATGAGCCAGAGAATGCCGACACACCAGCCCGACGAGTCCCCTGCTGGTCCTCCATGTGGATTCCCCAGGGCAGAGACGGCAGGACTAGACCCTAGAGTTACTCAGAATCACTGTACACCATTACCAAGGGATCAAGTGGCTCTGATTACACCTTGTGACGCAGCTGTGTCCTCCGGAACTTCCCGTTGAACTGACCACCAAGCATTCAGGTCAAGGCAGATGCTGGCCTCCAGTGAGAACCAGAAACTCCAATCACAGTCGTGGCCTTCACATGCTGTGTGGGGATTCTGTTTCTCGTCTACACTACAGGCCTCTTTTGCTAAATGGAGGTTTTTGTCTGGGGCCAGTCTCTCCTTTTCCATCGTACGGTGCGAAAGACGAAGCAGCACCAGGAACCGGGTCCTTGTACCCTCTGCTCCAGGATTCTCCCTCCACTCCAAGTGTGGGCTAGGACTCGGCTGCCAGCATGCTCTCTGCCTTCCCGCATGGCAGTCTGCAGCACTCCTGTCGGTACTGGCTGGACAACTGCGCCGTGGGGACCATCCTGGGCAACTTTGCGGCATCCCTGGTCTCTATGCACGAGATGCCAGTAGCATCTCCCACCCACCAGACCCAAAATGTTCCCCAAGTTGTCCCTGGCTCAGAATCGCTGTTCTAAAGCTTTGGCAAGAATCAAGTTTCCCAGTCTGGCTCATAGCCAATGACTGGCTGATACTGGGGTGCAAAAGGCTAGCTCCCTGGCTCTAGCTGTCCCTAGAGAGGGAGCAACTGTGCAGAGTTTGAGTTTATGACGAGTTTATGATGGAGGGTCCTCTTCCCGCCATGGGCCAGCCCYGCTCTGGGTTTGGCAGGAGACCATGCAGTGCTTGGCTGTGAACCCTTATCTAGAAGGACTTTGTCATGCACCCTATTTATGGAATGAATTATGTCCCCTGAAAAGACATTCTGAAGTCCTAACTGCTAGTACCTCAGAATGTGATCTTTGGAAATAAGGTCATTGCCGACATATAGAAGACCCCCAACTCACAGTGGCTTGACTTACAATGTTTTGACTTTATTATGGTGTGGAAGGGAGCCCATAAAAACACCGGTTTCCACTCTCAGTAGAGTTCAACACATTAGGCAACACTTGGTTGTAAAGCAGAACTTGCACTAGACGGTCTTGCGCCGCGTAGGCTGATCCAGGCGTTCTGTGGGCATTTAAACCCGGCCGAGCCAAACTCGTGTGCAACAGATCCAGGGGCATGAACTGCACTTGGGACTCAGGATGGGCTAGCTGGGATGTGACCCTGTCTTAAGTCCAGGGGCACCTATGATGATTTTATCTAGGATGAGGTCACACTGGAGCAGAGCTGGTCCTAATCCACATGACAGGTGTCCTGGGAGACACACCCGGGGAGAAGCTGGCCATTGACAGCCAAGACAGAGAGCAGAGAAATGCAGCTGGGAGCCAGAAAAGGTTGAGAAGCACCTGCAAACCAGAGGCCAGGAGGGAGCCGGAGGGAAAGACTGCGGCAGGCTGCGGGGGAGTCTGGCTGTACCAGTGCCTCCATCTTGGAGGATGAGCCTCCAGGACTCCGAGACAATACATTTCTGGAGTGTTAAGAGATACGGATTCGTGCCCAGGAAACTAACCCACGTCCCCATCCCTGTCATAGGCTGTGCTTCCAGAGAACCCAACATAACCAACTGGCCTTCCCACCCAGAGAGCGCGGAGCCCCAGGTGAGCGGGAACTCTTCCCTGCAAGTCAGCATGAGCTCCTTGTCTCTCAGAAAGTACGGCTCTGGCATTCAAAGAGAAATCCATGCAGCACCATTCCCCCAAGTCGGTGTCACTAACATGAAAACTCTCAATTAAGATCCACGGATTCGGCTGGGGTTGTGGCTCAGCGGTAGAGCGCTCCCCTAGCACGGGCGGGACCCGGGTTCGATCCCCAGCACCACATAAAAATAAAGGCATTGTGTTGCGTCCAGCTACACCTAAAAAATAAATATTAGAAAAAAAAAGATCCACTGATTCCCCCACTGCAAGCTGGACCTCTTGTGTTGGAATCAGGGGGAGACGGTGCCTTCCAAAGGGTTTTTTCAAGGGCAGATGTGACCCCGCTCAATGAAGCGGGCGCCTTGGTCCCTGCACGAGGCGCACTCTATACTAAGAACTGCCATTTGTAAGTCTGTGTCCTCTGCTAGTGGAGAGTTCCCTGCAGACRGGGATTGTATGATATTTATTTTGTTGATCCAACTAAAGACCTCTGGCACCTAATATGGACCTTAAGAAAAAATAGAAGAGGAAAAAAACTGAGCAAACTAGAAAAGAAGAAAGAACAAAGGGTAATGGGGGGAAGAGAGAAAAATCTATCCAAAGTTTCTAGACGATTCTCCCAACACTGCTCTAAGCAGTTGTAAAAAAAAATAAAATAAATAAAGTCATCTTAATCATAAGAGGGGCACAAGAGGAGTCCTCGGCCAGGACTGCAGGGCCAAACCCACAGTGACAGGAAGGAACAGCCACATCCGCCTGCCAGCAGCATGGGCAGCAAGCTCTGAAGCCCGACGTGACAGCACAGAGCGCAGATGAGCAATGCGAGCTGTTCCCAGATCTCAGTCTTACACACTTGGAGCTCCCGGAGGAACCCAGAGGCCCGGCCTGCAGCTCGTGCCGAGGACGGGGAGCCGGCCTGTCACCAGGGACAAACCTGCTTCCACAATGACAGAAGCCAGGCCCTGCCGTCTCTCTTTAGGAGCAAGGCAGACAGCCGTCCTCAGAGTCACTCGGCTTCTGAAATGGCAGCTGCCCTGCTTCAAGAAGCCACGAGGTGGGGAGTGGGCAGACAGCCTCTCCCCCCTGGCCTTTCTCATGACGCCCACGCAGGCGTCACGACTGTGTCCTGACAGGAGCTGGCCCCTGGGGTGGGCTAACCACCCACCAGCTCCTTTACCCAGGAGACCCCTTCACTCYGAGCTCACACCTGCACGGTGGTGTCCCTCCCTCCACTGCACCCGTGAGACAGCACGGGGACCCTCGCACAGCCAGGACATGGCGGGGGGCTGAGCACCGGCCACCTCCCTCACGCTTACCAGACTGAGGGGGGCCCCGTTCCCCTCCCCTGGGTCCATCTCCCACCCTGTGCCTGCTGCTGCCATCCCACAGGTTTCCGGAAGTCACCAGATGTCAAGCATCACTGGAGACTCACAGGAAGCACCCAACCCACCTGCTGGTAGTCCCGGGAGGGAAGATCCACCCAGAGGAACAGCCGGGTGCTGGGCTGGGGTGACAGTAGACCAGCCAACACCTTGCCCACCCTCTCCCCACCCTCAGCACCTCAGCACAGCCCGCCTGCCAGCCAGCTGCCACCAGCTGCACTCGTGGACACGTGCAGAGGCCAGAGGTCTCCTGGCCCACCAGTGCCACAGACCCGGGGTGTCAGGGAATGGACCTCCCGACTCCCAGCAGCCCTCCATCAGTGGCCAGCCCAGCAGCAGCTGGTGGACAACACCCAGCACCTCGCCCCTCTGCAGCGTGATCCACACGAGCACCCAGTTTCCACAGCAGCGGGGAGGAACTAGTCACCTCCTGGGACAGCCAGCTAGATCATGCATCCTGTCACCTCCTGGGGTCCCCTCCCTCATAAACGACTTGCTTTGCCTCAGGGTCTTCTCAAGGAATCCAAACTAAGGGAGGGATCAGTCTCTACCATTGAACACACACCTACACACCCACTCACACACACACCCACTCACACACCCACTCACACACACACACACCCACTCACACACACACACACACTCACACACACACACACTCACACACACTGATAGTGGAACAGTCCCTTCTGTCCCCGTGTTTAGAACCTGCACCTGAGGGCTGGGGGTGAAGCTCGGGGACACAGTGTGTGCACAGCATGCATGAGGCCCTGGGTTTGGTCCCCTGTACCCGGCAAAAGCTGCACCCCTAGATGTGGTGCAAGGTCATCAAAGCTCTGGCCAAGAGAGTACAGTTTTGAGGTGCACCTGGTGTGTTCGTGTAAAACGATCCTGCCTGCACGGGGTGGACGGTGGTCACCTGTGTGACAGCTGGATGGGCCTCGTACTGGTTGGGTCTTCCCCTTGCCTGGGGGGTGGGGGTGGTCCAGATCTTCCTACCCGGCCCTGGGTGGCCTCCCAGCAGCAGCCAATCACAGGTCCCTTGCTGCGGGGGTGGGGGTGGGAGTGGGGGGACAGGAAGCCAATCTAACAATTTGCCTGAAAAATATCCAAGCATCAGCCAATTCTCCTGCTCACTTTTTTTTTTCTTTCCCCAAATCAATTTCTGGAAGTCAGAATGACGRATAGCTTTATACCCCAGACAATCATTCTCCTGATTAAATAACTCAACATCAATAACAGAACAAGTCCCAGAGTGGTGCTGGTTACATGATCCTACATATGTGGTGAGATTTCACAGAACCACACACACAAAGGCGCCCCGCCCCCAACACACACCCCCGTGCAAAAAAAAAATAAATAACTAAAACAACCCCCAAAACAGGGACATCTGAGCCAGGCCTAGGCTAATCACCATTATCCATTTCCTGATGTGGCTAATGTACTCTGGGGTACATGGAAACGCTGTCCTTGGGGGACAGAGGACACAGGAACTGCACTCGATTTCCTCAACCTCTTGGGAGTCAAAAATCATGTAAAAAAAWTTTTAAATAATATCTGGGTGCATGATGCAGGCCTGTCATCCCAGCCACGCGGAGGCTGAGGCAGGAGGATGGCGAGTTCCAAGCCAGCCTCAGCCAAGGCGAGGCCCTCAGCCACTCAGTGAGACCCTGTCTCTAAAGAAAATCCAAAATAGGGCTGGGGATGGGGCTCCGTGGTCGAGTGCCCCCGAGTTCCATCCCCAGTCCCTCCCTCCCAAGAAAAAATCAAATAACAAAATCAAATTAAAATGCTGCTTTTTTCTCAAAGCTGCCGAGGAAGCCCACCCTTACCTGAGAGCTGGGGATCAGCGCCTTCCACCAGTGGCCGCCCTTCACCAGGTCCACCTCGCACAGGGGCACGGACACTTTCCCAATGACGCAGTGGCGGGAGAACTTGTCGAAGTCCACCACGGTCAGGAGCAGGGTCCTCCGCTGGGCCTCGAGGAAGGGGATCTCGAAGGTGTAGCGCTCCTCGAACACGGGCTTCTGGGTCTTGCGCTTGACGGCCGTCTGCTTGGAGTTCTTCTGGTCGGGCAGCAGGCACACCTTGACGTAGGGGTTGGAGTGCGCCAGGTCCTGGCGCGCGCCGTCCTGGGAGAGCGGGGGCGGCAGGTCCCGGGCCTCGATGACGCGCACCGTCAGGTGGTTGTGCAGCAGGTCGTACTGCGTGCTGAAGTGCAGCATGCCCAGCTGGTACCTGGACAGGATCTCCTCGTCCGTCAGCGAGTCCACGTCGTCGCTGCTCGAGTCCAGGGAGTAGAGCCGCGGCTCGAACTTCCTGAAGTAGTCGTCGGGGGTGTAGGTCCGGCGCAGCACCGACGGCTGGATGGCCTCCTTCTTGGCGCTGAGGACCCCGAACTCCATGGGCTTGATGTCGATGAGCGGGGAGCTGGGGCGGCGCGACTCCAGACCTGCGCGGCCCCAAGAAATGACCGTGAGTACCGCCACCTGGACGGCGGGGGACCTCGGGGGCAGCAGACGGGTTCTCAGGGTCCACTCTGCTCTGAAGGCTCTTCTCGGCACACTTGGAAATCTGGCTGTCCCTCCATCCGTGCAGGGGACAGGTTCTAGGATTCCCCCCCCCAGATACCAAAAACAGGTGGGTGCCCAAGTCCCTGGTATTAAACGCGGCAGCGTTTGGGGCAGAGAACAGGKGACATCCCCCTAGACCCCTCTCAGTGCCAAGTGCTAGGGAAATAACTGTCCTACTGTGTGGTGGAGGGATAGCCACACGTCCCGTTCAGACTCTTCCTTTTTCCTCTGAGTATTTCTGATCCACAGCTGGTGGAACCCGGGACACAAAACCCTTTTAATATTGAGACAGGGTCTTGCTAAGTTGCTTAGGGCCTTGCTGAATTGCTGAGGCTGGCTTTGAACTCGAAATCCTCCTGCCTCAGCCTTCCAAGCCACTGGGATGACAGACATGTGACACAGGGCCGAGCGGACTCTCCATTGACACCAAGGTCACACCATGGCCACCCTCACAGCAGCCAAGGGCCAGGTACCTTCTAGACGGATGGTGTGTCCCAGGTCACCTCATCTTTTCAGCCCCTAGAATTATTAGGATCACTCTGGTCCCCGCTTTACAGATGAGGAAGCAGAAGCTTTAAGGAATGTCCCAAAGGTCACAGGCTTCTAGGTGGAGGAACCAGGTGACGATCCTGGCCCACCTGGCTGTGATCAGGACCCTGGGCTGCCCCTCCTGTAAGAGCCAGCATGCCTGGCTCAGACTCCGCTTGTCTACTTATTCCTGAGCGCTGGGACTCGAGGCATTTTATTATAGACTCTCTGGGGCTCCGTTTTCCCATCTGTAAATTTGAGTCAGTGCGGGCTCCTACATCAAAGATGGTGGCACAGGTGCCTCCCCCCCACCATGAACCTGCAGAGGTCAAGGCCTCCACATCTGTCACTCTAATCTTTGCTCCTCCCTCTGTTCTGAAGATGACCTCATCGCATTCTCTCTCTCTCTCTTTTTTTTTTTTTTTGGTACCAGGGATTGAACCAGGGGTGCTTTACCACTGAGCCACATCCACAGCCCTTTTTATTTTGAAACAGGGTCTCGCTAAGTTGCTGAGGCTGGCCTTGAACTTGCAATCCTCCTGTCTCAGCCTCCCAAGCCGCTGGGATGACAGGCGTGCGCCATCACGCTCAGCACAACATTCTTGTTAATTGCCCGAACATCTGTTTTGCAAGCAAGCATCATGAGAATCTTGCCTGAGGCCCGGGAGGTCTGCTGATAACTGTGAGAACAAAATCCCCCGTATTCAGAGCTGGGAGTGAGACTTAGGAATCCTGGAGACCAGCGCTGTCCACAGAAATACAATGACAGYCAGGAGCRCAAGCCATGAGAGTGACTTAAAATGGTCTAGCCACCACAACTTTTAAAACATGCAGAGAAACAGGTGAAATGAATTTTCACAATTTATTATTTGACCTACTAGTTGAGCATCACTCATCTCAAAACCCCAAATCTGAAATATTCCAAAATCCCCAAATCCAAACTTTTGGGGGAGAGATGGGGCTATCAAGGATCGAACCCAGGGGTGCTCAACACCTGAGCCACATCCCCAGCAGATTGAGACAGAGTCTCACTGAGTTGCTTAGGGCCTCGCTAAGTTGCTGAGGCTGGCTTTGAACTTGCAATCCTCCTGCCTCAGCCTCCCAAGCCACTGGGATTACACACATGTGTCACCGTGCCTGGCCAGAATCCAAATTTTTGAACACCAACATGATGCCACGGGTGGAAAATACCACGCCTGTCAAAACACTAGGCACATTAAAAATACAGTATAAAATTACCTTCAGACTCTGCATGGAAGATGTATATGAAGCATAAATGAATTTCACATTTTGACGTAGATCCTACCCTCAAGATATTTCCTGATGTCTCTGGAAATATTCCAGAATCTGAAATCTGAAACACTACCAACCCCAAGCATTTCAGATGAGGGTCACCCAATCTGTAGATCCAAAATATCACTCTGACATGTGACTAATACAAAAACATTTCCGTTTAAAATGTGTAAAATTTTGACATGTAATACAAAAACATTTTAGTTTAAAATGCTTAGCATATTTTAAATTCTCTTTTTCATACTGTCTTCAAAGTCTAGAGTGTGTTTTACATTTTTACCCCTCCTAACCTGGCCCAGTGCCACTTYTGTGCCCAACAGCTAGGTGTGGCTGGTGGCTGTTGCACCAGGCAGCAACGTCTAGAGCTCAGGAGGCTTAAGAAGCTCAAGATGCCCTCAGTCCCCCTGATTCAAGACCTGAACTTTTTTTCCCTATTTCCTTTCTCATCTGCTCCCAACAACAGACACCAATTACCTCCACCTGAATGGATTTGTCACTTATGAATTTTAAGATTTTTCCTTCCATTAAAAGAATCTTGGAGCCAGGCACAGGGGCGGGCGCCTGAAATCTCAGCAGCTCAGGAGGCTGAGGCAGGAGGATCCCAAGTCCAAAGCCAGGCTCAGAAACTTAGCAAGGCCCTAAGCAACTCARCGAGACCCTGTCTCTAAAGAAAAAATACAAAAGAAAAGGGCTGGGGATGGGGCTCAGTGGCTAAGCACCCCTGGGTTCAATCCCCAGTTCCCCCGGCCCCATAAAATTTCTTGGACATCAACTAAATAAGATAAAGATACTTTGGGGGAGTGATAGGAGGTGGGAGTCTTTGGACTTTATTCTTCTTCCTCCTCTCTTCTACCCAGATCTTTCCATCTGGTCAAATGCACAAGCTACACAGCAGAGTGGACAAAATGGGTGGTCAAACTGACCCGAATATGCATTTTTTTTTTTTTTAGGTTCAAAAGTAAGAAAACTTCATGCACAACTCCAGGTGGCCAGCTTCTCTTGAGAAAGATCAGGCCACACTGGGACCACGGCCTCACACAGCTACCAGTTTTGAGACCTGAGCAGCAGCCACCAGGGCCCTTTCAATGAGACGTGAGCTTTCTTGCTGGCCACAGTCCCCACTCGGCCCTGGAACGCTACACCAGAGCCTCAGGGGCCACTCGTCTCTGCATGAGGGCAAGGTCTGCCTCTAACCAACCCTCTGGCACAACCCCAAAGTCACCTGAATCAGCACGCCCTGGGCTACAACGGGGCAACACTCTCCTTTTAGGATCTGAAATGATACATTGGGAGAATGTCAATCAGCTGAGCCGAGTCAATCCAACGGGTGGTCAGTAAGAGCAAAAATCAATCAAAATGATCACCCTTGACGGAGCTCAGCAGAAATCAGGGAGGTGTGACTACTCCTCCTTCACATCATCATCTGTGTCACCCTGTCTCTCAGACTGTCACCCACTCCACCTCCTCCCCCCAGCAAGGAGGCCCTTCCCCCTCTCTCCTTGGGGACACTGCTGAGTGCCTGGGAAAGCCAGCCAGGACCCCCAAGGGTCCCAGCCGGGACACTTACTGGAAATCCTCCGGGTCAGGCTGTAGGTGGACTTGGATGTGTCTGAGGACGAGCGTCTCCCATCCGGGGAGTTGGTMCGGGGAGTGAGGGGGACGTCGCTGGCTGTGTGGACGGAGTCGCCATCCTTCTCGCTGCTCCGGCTGGCCATCCTACAGGCGGGGAAGAGGGGCCGYGGGTTGTCAAGCAATCCCCAGGGATGTGCCCCCCGACCCCGAATTTCATTGGCTGCCTGCACCTTTTATGCACCAGGAGCAGGAAGCAAGCGCCTCTCCAAAGGCTGAGGGCAGACCCCGGCACGGGATGAAAAAACACCCCCAGGGAAGTGGCTCTCAGATCCGCTCCACGCACTTGATGCAGCTTGGAATAACACAGGTTATAGTGTGGTCGCCTGAGACTCTCCATAGAAAATGTGACGTGATGCCCAGGAATAGCCCCCAAAATGTAGACCAATCTGTCAGGGATCTGCATTATTTCAAAGCTGGAGTTGGTGGGTGGGGAGGGATGTGTAAATTCAGGCTGTTGCCACGTGGGGGCGCCACTTTGGCTAAGTGAAGACAGACCTGTCAAGGAGACYTGTCCATCTTGGGTCCAAAAGGATACATTGTGGTCGTTTATAGGCATCCAAACTCATGCAAGTGGCTTCTGGTGACAAGAGTCCTACTATTTCCACAGTCCCTGTGTCTATAATTTAACATCSTTCAAAAATCTCCTAGAACAATGTCACTCAAGGGCTCTCTGAGTGGCAGGGCAGCCGCGGCAAAAACAGCCCGGAGAATCAATGATTGAAGAACAGAAATTCGATGGGAAGAAACAGCCATGAATTTTGCAGCAGCACCAACAGCCATGCCTCCAAGTACCCTCCCCCCACAAGAAGGGGCACATAAGGTTTTGGGGGGCGGGAGAGGAGATGGGGGACGRGCAGGGAAGAAGTGATAGGAGGTGGTCAGTCTGCGCCCTGGCTGGGTGATAGGGGCAAGTTCCTGTCCCTCTCTGGGCCTCATTTCCCCACAGTGCTGCCTTGTGTGGCTGCCGTACCTGCTGGACASGTTAACACGTAGAAGATGCTAGAACAATGTTTGGTATGCTGTGGGCAGGCGCTCGGTGCGMGTCAGTGATGTCATGACAACAGGTGTGGCTTCAGGTCTCCTGAATACCCACCAGGCTGCTGAGGAGGCTGGGGACGGCAGGGGGCAGGGAAAGCTGGCAATGCAGACCGGGAACCTGCAGCTCCGAGGGCCCCTGAGTCACCAGGCAGCGGTCCACCCTCCAGGCCACACCCCCAGCCTGAGCTTTCCACCTGAGGCAGGTGATTTCCAGGAAGTCTCCCCAGGCAGAGCTGACTGCGCCAGGTGCCTCCGAGGACGGCAGGGGAGGGGGACAGGCAGGACCCCAGGGCCACACGTGGGGGACAGAGGGACAGGGAACAGGCCCAACCGTGATGAGCAGGACCCCAAATGAGCCCAGGATAATGTTGAGGTCTGCAAGTGGTGCATCCCCTGTGGGCCCGGTCCCCACTGTGCACACGCTAGACACTTAAGGTATGCGCCGGGGACAAATACATAAGCACCGTTATTAATTGTTACTCCTCAACAAGGGATCGGCTGAGGTGACCCCACAGCAGCCAATCAGATCACGGTTTTTCAGACCCTTACCAGCCCAGCCCCGCCCAGCTGAAGAAAGCTGGTGACTTGAGTGACAATAAGATGTCCCCTGAGATCACCTGCAGAGCACAGGCAAAGGGCCAGCTCCTCTGCCACGTGCCACTACACAGAGGTGGCTCTTGGGCTCTCAGAGGTGGCTCCCAGCTCCGATGTCACTGTAGGAGCAGCTCCGCCAAGCCGGCGCTAGTGACATCTCTCCTCCCTGCCTGTTTGAGGACATTCGACTGCCCACTTGGTAAATCAATCTGGGGCGAACACAAGCTGTAAATTCGCTTTCTGGAMGACGTACCCTGCCTCCCCGGCACAGATTTCGCATGCCCTGTCGCATTCGGYCGAGTGCCCAAAAGTGGGTTAAGCGCTGCTCGGGGTCGAGGGGAGGAGACCTGGTTCATCCTGGGAAGCGTGAAGCTCATGTATGGCTGTTCACGCTGCAGACTGCACAACTCTAGATGGTGCCATTCATCCAGACCACATTGTGAAGGATGCCACCTGGAGTGTGTGTGGTGTGCTGACCCCGGTGGGAAAGTTCCGGTCTCCTTCTTCCATTTCTCCGCTTGTGGCAAAACCAAAAGACATGGGTCTGCTTGTGGTATCTGCCCACCGGGGCCCCATTCCCTCCTCTCTGGAGTCAGCAAACCGCAGAGCCAGACCCCCACCCGACCTTGAAATGGTGTGTCATGGGATTGCAGCCATGTCCCTCGGTTCTGCTAATCAAGGCTGCTATCACCCAGCTGCAGGAGAGGGAAGAGGTTGCCATATGGCCCCTAGGTTAAATATTCACCCTCCGGCTCCTGAGGGGAAACCGTCGCCAGTCCTCGATGCCCCAGCTTAGCTCCTGTGTGATGGTGGCTCTGGGGTGGGCAGCGAGCCAGGATGATTCTAGAGCATTGTTTCCTCCAAGGGAAGGCTAGGTCAAGTRACTGACCCAGGACACAAGCCAGGCCAGTGAGTCTCTCCTGATTTGGGTTTCTTTGTATTTTTTTTTTCTTGCTACAAAGACAATAGAAGGTAAGTCTAGTGCTAGCATGTGGGGAGAGCAGCCCCATTCAAAAAAGAAACAGAAGAAACGATATCACGTGAGCTACTGGATCCAGCCATGCCTGAAGCCCTCATCCACGGACTATCCATAACAAGACCCTCTGCTGGGCTGTCCCATACGGYGTGCAGGGTGTGAATGCACAACTCAAGGGGACAACTGGACTTCCCCACCTGACTTAGGTCCTCTATGAAATCCAAAATCCCCCAGCATGGTAACAGGACCCCAGCTCTTTGTGTACTCAGGAAGTAACTACCAAAAAAATGACAGTCACTTCTCAACTGGATGGCTGGCACTTCCGGGATTCCTTTTCCACCTGTAGGTTAAACTGTTTTTTTTTTTTTTTTTTTTTTTTTTTTTTAAGTGGACAAGACTAGACAAAATTCCCTGTCCTGCCAGAGTCCGCCCTCTTGCAAGCAGAGCTTTAATGAGACCAGATGGGTTGAGCCAGTGTCTGCCACAGAAGCTGCTGCAAACTGGGAATTACTTCTCAATGAATGAGTTGCTTTCACCATCTTTTTCTCAACTTCAGACACACTTGGAGGACTCGGGCTGCCCACAGATAATGGAAAGATCTTCAGCACCTTGACACCAGCTTCCAGGCTCTCTATCCACAGCTAGTAATGGCAGAAGCCAGTGCTTACAGAGCTCAGACTGCGGTGCTGAGCGTGTGATATGCACCTCTCACTTACCCTCAGTCACAATCCTGTAAGTTCTTTTACTATTCCACTTTCCAGATGAGGAAACCAAGACCATAGTACAGTAAAAAGAATCCCATTCCTGATCCACAAGGTGTGGTCAGRATTAAGTACTTTTCCATACGGGAATTCATTTATTCCTGCAATTCCTGCAATTAATCTCAGCACTAGGAGATGCCTCTATCTTATCATCCTGTTTTACAGATGGGAAACTGAGGCACAGAGTGATTTTTTTTTTTAAAGTAACTTGCCCAATTCACAGTACTAGAAAATGACCGTAGAAATAGGATTTGAACTCACACAGTCTGACAGAGAGCCACTCTGCTGTGGAAAGATCTGGTACTTGCTTTTCTGTTTTTGTTTTTGGTACTCAGGATTGAACTCAGGGGCGCATAACCACTGAGCCACATCCTCAGTCCTTTTTATTTTTTAGTCTTGAGACAGGGTCTCACTAAGTTGCTGACGCTGGCCTCAAACTTGCGATCCTCCTGCCTCAGCCTCCCTGAGTCTCTGGGATTACAGGTTTGGGCCACTGCACCTGGCTGAAGTTTGCTTCTAAGGAGAGAAAATGAGAAGACTGAGGCATGATCCCCAACCTGCAGGRAAAGCCAGGGATCAGAAGCTTCTGGAATCCCAGCCCAGGGACTCAGCTCGGACAGTACAGGGTACATGCCCCAGGGCTGYGGGGACTGGTATCACCTCTCTTCCTTTTCTGGGGCTCCTCCCCRGCCTGAGGAGCTGCACTTGATGATTTGCAGGCCCTTCCTCCTGGCCTTTACCCAGACTCTCTGACCATGTCCCTCTCCCAGCCCCAGGGAGGTGGACCAGACACGTGGCTGAGAAGCTTCAAAACTGCGTTCCCAAAATATCTGAGCGACTGGCAGATGGAGATGTTGTATGCAGGCGCGGGAGGAAAGCGAATTAGAAATAAAATGAAAGATAGCTAGCGAGAACATAAACAGCGTTGGAGGGCTGGATGGAGCCCGGAGGTACTTTCCTGCTTCCTTGTTTCTGAAATTCTGGTTTGGACCAGCAAAGGAAAAAAAAAAAAGGCAATTGCTTGTTCATCCATCTACCCCTCTGTGCAAAAAATACTTATTGAGCATGTACTAAAGTGCGGAGAGTCGGGACAACTTGTCTGGGATGCAGACCCTTAGACTACGATCATCCTTTGAAGAATGCCAATGTGCACAGATGTCTTTTCCTCTGGGAATATCACTCCCCCGGGATCCAAAGTGCCCACACAATTAGCACTGGGAGGCCATCTCCCATCTCAGAAGCCCCGTGTGAAACCAGCTGAACTACAGCTACCYCACGGGACCAGCTTGCCAGACAAAACAAGGGGTTCAGGACACATCCCCCACCAGCAGCCGGGATGCCCCACGGAGACTCACACCCCAAAATCAAAGTCTCTCGGGTGGCCCGGACCCGACTCTCAGGTGGTACTTACAGCCAGGGAGGAGTCTGCGCGGGGAAGGGCCCCAGGATTTCCACTTCATCCTCACTTGACTGGCAGCAGCTGGACTCGTAGCACTTCTGACAGCAGTGCCGGCAGCTCCATCTACACATCAGCAGACCAGAGATTCTAGAAAGAAAACCCTGAGGCCCCGGGGGAGGTGGGCAGCGGGCGAGGGGGGAGAGGGAGGGGAGAAACAACACCCAAAATTACAAGCAGCCGATCCCCGGCGGGAAACAAAGACAGGAGCGTGACTCGGACGCGGAGCCTGGAGAGCAAGATGTTTTCCATCTCTGTTTACCCACCGCGGCACAGAGGCGGCCAACATCCGCGCCCAAGCTGCTGACAGCCAGCCACACATTTGCAGGTATTTCTTTCCTAGTGTCCGGGAGCATCTTTCTTGGTGGGCCTTTGAGTGTTTCTAGAACCCCGTGAGGGCTAGACAATAGGTTCTCCCAACAACACCGATGAGTCTTACTCTCTTCTTGCAAAGCAAAGAAGCAAAAAAAAAAAAAAAAATTGTTTTCTTTTTTTTTTCCCCCCAATGATCTCGAAAGTGAACGGGGAGAGTCAAGCGGAATGAGTGGGGTAAGGAGGGACATCTGTCTTGCTATCAGTGCTTCCTCTGACATGGGGATTGCCTTTCAGTCGAAAGGCAGGGGAACGGGGTGCCCCTGGTCCACAGCCAGTTATTACTGAATCGTCAGCGTCCCCGAAACCCCACATGACACTCCAAAACGAGAGACAAGCCCTTCTTGATGAGAAAACCAGACCCAACACATCATTGAATTAACCCACCTCGTTCAGTGGTTCCAGCTGCCCTTTTAGAGATCCACACCGAAGCCCAGGGGCGGGAGGAGGTGAGGGTTGGAAGAGAGAGAGAGAGACCAGTTTAGCCATATTCAAAAAAAAAGAGAGAGAGAGAGAGAGAGAGAGAAGCACGTCACCTGGAAGGCACCCTGCATCTTCCACTTACCATCCTGGGAAGGGAGAGGAGTTTCTAACAAGGTGTTGCTATGCTCAGGGCTGCTGGTAGCCTCCTGATTAGCCAACACCGAATGAATGGGCAACTTGAGCATTTCGATTGGGTTTGCACCGTATGCTGTTATGAATCAGAGCGGGTGGATAGAGAGTCATGCTATCCAGCACAGCCAGACTCCAGGGGACTCGCAAACCTTCCTATACAGAAATAGCCACGAAGCCACCCCAAAAGGACATGATGAGCTAGCRTGCAAGCAGGCACCGAATGGATGGCACTTGGAGCCCACGCCCTGCCGGAGGCCCTACCTTCCAATTCTGCTCCAATAGTGATGTGCAGAGTTTTATATGACCACCCACTAATCGGGGGAGTTGGACAGGAAGCTGCGGTCAGGTCCTCAGGAGGCGGGGGACCCCMCACACACACCCTATCTTCTTCTTACAGGTTCTCAAGGTGCAGACTCCCCCACCCTCTTGCTAATGATTTTCAAATGGGCCGAGTACACCAGGAAGCTCAGGGGCCTGCAGCCCAGCCCAGGATGCCTCCCGAGATGCACTGGGGTGCCCAGCTCAGAACTTTGAAGTCAAGAGGGGGACGTTATCATCTTTTGGGGGGTCTCTTGCAAGCAGGGAGAAGGTCTCTGTTTGCTCCCATGGACATATTGACTTCTTTCTGACCCTGGATCACGCCCACCTTCCCTTTGAAACAAAGGAAGGTGAGCCCAGCTCTGAGCCCCAGGTCTGCCCTGCCCAGCTGCAGGGAACGATCCGGAGTCACTTTCCAGTTACTTTCTGCATCCACCACCCCGTGATCCYGGTTTCCTATTAGGGTACTTGACATAAAGTTTCCTCTTCACATGATTTTTTGAAGTTAAAAAAAGTCCATTTATAGAAAAAACAATTAATAACAGTATAGGTCATACACGGCTCATGAAAAGTTCAGAATCCTTGAGGCCGCCAGAGACCAACTGCAGCTTGGGAAAGACTCCAACATACTCCCCCAAACCCCAACCTCAAACCACACACAGAACAAGACCTGAAGGTGCACCCAAAGGAGCCGGGTGGGGGAGTACCAATCCTGGCCCTGCCCCACTGACTGGCCGTGTGACTTGAGCAAGTCAGGGAGCCTCTGGGAACCTGTTGCTTCTTCTCTTTAGTAGAAAGGCCACTCCCTACTTAAAGGAGTGCTGTTGAGATAGGACTCAGACTATGAAAAAGCTTGGGTATTGCCTGGCTGCAAAATAAAATGCACTCTTTCTGTGTCTTATGAGAACAAGGTGATTGATTGCCCAGGCCCCAGGTATTGTCCTGGCACATACACACAAGCACAAGGATCAGCAGGAATCTATCACCTGGCGGGGTTTACAGGCGAAAGGGCTTCAACTTGTTTGGAATAAAGTGATGTTTATTTACAAAGTCCCATGGCCATTCTCTCGTTCCCTGGGCATAGGCTGGTCAAAAGGGCACCATCTATAAAACCATGATGACCAGACCCAAGGCCACTGTGTGCCCCTGCTGAGGATGCACAGTTTTATCAAAGCCCAGGAGCAAGATGAGTGTCGTGAAGTAAAAAGAACCCAAGAAAGACAAAAGGGTCAAGGGAGGAGAGGTCCTCTGGATTGCCGACTCTTCCTCACACTGGGGCCCTGGGCTCGTGGGTGGTCAGCAATGGAGAACTGATTGAGACCAGAAGGTAAGGGAAGGAGAACCCAGCTAGTCTAAACAGAGGCGGGCAGGTAAGGCCCCAGAGCTTGCTTCTCTCTACAGCCCTCCAGCTAAAATGGATTGGTATATTTTAAATGGCTGGGGGGGGGGGGGAGTCCAAAGTAGGTTACTCCTTATGGACTTGTGCAAAATGTCCAAAATTTAAATTTCAATGTCCAAAACAATTAGTTTTATTGGAACACAGCCACGCCCACTCAAGGACTTCGGTGGCTGCTTTACCACTACAGAGTTGAAGAGCTTTGACAAGGAGCTTGTGAGCCTCCAAGAAAAAAATAAATATTCACTTTCTGGCACTTCACAGAAGTTCACCAACTTGTTCTGTAAGGAAAAGTCGGTATCAGGAGCCCTCACGTGAGATGCTGAAGGTTACCTCCCATACTATCCCCAACAGGTATTTTAGATCCTACCTGGACCCCTGAACAGATGGGTGGCCTTGGGCAAGCACTTAATTTCTGGGCTGCAGGTTTTAAGGTTCATTTTTCACTAGATTGTGCATCCAGAGGGGCAGGGACTGTGCTGCTGTGTCTTCAGCACAGGGGGTGGTCACCCAAGTATTTGTCCAGTGATGAGTGAACAATCTCAGGACAAYATTCAGCACATAGTAAATATGACCTTCGTTGAACTTGAAATGAGGACCTAGGGATTCCACTAAAAGGAAGCCAATCCAGGGATTCTTAGCCAGAAGAGGAGTGGGGAGTCTCTGCCAGGTGACAGACCTCAGAGTCCCTGGGTCTGGGGACAAGAAGAAGGAATGTGTGAGCCAGCAGCCCCCAGCCTGGGCTGAGGGGATAAGATGAGGCCCCGGGAGGGGTAAGCGTTGGCTTTGCTGCCAGGCTCAGGGGGAGGAGCTCGCTCCCGAAGTCAGCAGCTCCATGGGTCTGACAGCCAGTCTGACTGTGTGACCTTGGCATTGACCTGCCGCCACTTCTCTCTTTGCAGAGGAGAAACGTCTCTCAAATAAGCAGCCCAGCTCATCCCCACCCCACCTGCCAAAGAGGTGCTTGGAGATTATTTCAGCCCATGGGTTCCTGGGGGAGCTTCTTCAAGGTGATGGGGGGAGGGTCCAAACTTCCAGACCCCAATGCAAGGAGCTAAAGTGCCCGGCTCCTTCACCTTCGCCAATGCGCTCTGGCCTCTATGTCTCCCACCCCTCAGTACTCAGTGGCCGGGAGAGACGAYGTCCTTGTCCCTCCTGGCCGGAACAGCTGCCTCAAGCTCGCTCCGCCGGCCAATTAGCCGGAGCCGTCACCACGGCAACGGCAGCTGGCGGGCCGGGCGGCTGGCGCGCCCCGGGCCGCCCTCTCCGCGGCCCCTCCCCTGGGGTGGGGTGCCAGGGGGAGGACAGACGGGCGCGCGGGGGGGGGGGTGTCCGCCCCACCCCCATTCCCTCCCGGGGAGGCGAGGGCGCGCAGGCAGAGCCCACGAGGGCCCTCCATCCCGGGGTCCCGGGGTCCCCTGTTCTTTTCCCAGGGCGCACCACCGCTGCTGCACSGGTCGCCTGCGCTCGGGCACCCTTTTTTCTCGAGGCAAGTTTGTGGGAGCCTGGCCGCRTGCCCTCCCCTCGGCGCGCGCCCAGCCGGAGGGCGCTGCCCCCGGCGGCCCGCGCCCCCGCCTCAGCCCTACCTGGATGTACGCCATCTTCGCCCGCGCGCACTCACTCCGGCCCGGGCATGGCGCCGCCACCGCCACTTTGCCCTCGCCGACAGGGGCGGGGGGAGAAAGCAAGGGGGAAAGGAAGGAGAAGGCAGCCGGTGGCCCCAGACGTGACTGGCGTGGCTGATGAGCGGCGCCCGCCCATCMGCCGGCCGCCCCGTCCTTGCCTTCCCTGCGTTCCGGCTCCCGGAGTCGGGCCGCCTCCCCGGATCGCAGAGCTCGGCGCCCGGGGCCCCCGCCGCGGCCTCCCTGGCTGTCCCGCGCTCCCCCCGAGGAGCTCCCAGGCTGGAGTAAGGCCGGGCCGCCTGGGAGGGAGCCCGGGGCAGCCGCGGGGACTGCATCGACCCCGGCGCGGGCGGGGCCGGAGACGCCGGGGCCCGAGCGCGCGGGAGGCGGGGGAGGGGACCGGGCTGGGGAAGGGGGTGGCGGGGGCGGCGCCCAGGTCAGCCCATCCGGCGGGCCCCAGCGTTGGCACAACCCGTAAGCAGCGCTCCGGGGGTGGCCGCGAAGGTCTGAGTGCACAGCCTAGCCCGCCCTGGGGTCCGGAGCTGGGAGGGTCCTCCATCCAGCCCTCTCCCCAAACCCGCTTGGAAAAACTTTATTCCCGCCCCACCCGACGCGCCTAGATCGGTTGCGGCGAAACAGGCAGAGGCTAAATGAGTGGGAGCCCTGAGCTAAAGGTGGGCGCAGGGAGCCCYGAGGGCGGTGCCGTGGCCGGGGCTACAGGGGGCGCGCGTAGAGAGCGGAGCGCCCCGGTACCTAAACCTGCCGGAGTCGCGCCCTGGACGCAACAGGTCTAGAGCGGGGCGGCACAGCAGCGCCACCCAGCGTCGTGCCCGGCTCTTGCGCGCTTCAGCCCGCCCGCAACCAAGCCGCCAGCGTGCGCCCTGGGGCGTGTCCACCGCCGGAGCTGGGGCGCGCTGGACCCGAAGGCCTCAGCTAATCTCCCAGCCCAAGGTGCCCCCCCCAGCCCAAGGCCACAGAGCTCGGTGTGGCTCTGCACCGAGGAATTTGAATCGAAACATTGCCCTCCGCTGGTTCGCCTCTTTAAAGGACCAGCTGTCTCCTGTTGCTGGTCTCCAGCTTTTCAGCCTTTTAATTTTAATCTCCCAGCGCCTCTGGGGATAAAATCTCTGTCCTGCTTGTCCTCCAGGACTGTTTTGTGGGAGTAAGTGAGAAAGTGAACGCGGAAGTAATGAAGCATGCAATACACATATGTGTATTTATTTTGTGTAAAAAGCCAGCTGGTGTGGATTTTGAGCATGATATGTTTAGTTTGTAGCACAGCACATGGAACATGCTGCGCGCTTCTAATCCGGCGGGCATAAAGCCAACGCTTCCTGGGCATTTTTCTATGTCATCCTCGTGCACCTTTGCTCACCTGAGTCCCTCTAGCACAAGCCTGAGTGTAGTAAGTAGAGAGCGAGGTTTTTTGAGGTTGTTGGTTTTTTTTTTTTTTTTGGGGGGGGGGGTGTTGCTGGATTGAACCCAGGGCCTTGGGCATGCGAGGCACTCTAGCAGTCTACCAACTGAGCTATTTCCCCAGCCCCAAGTGAGGGTTTTGCTATTGCTGCTGACATTGCTTCTGGAACGGATGCTGCAATGATCCCCAAATTACAGATGGGGGAGACTGAGGGACAGAGAGTTAAAGCTGCTCACGGGGGTGGGGGGGTGGGGGGGGTGCTGACAGCTGGTGTTGTAGGCCCTGGTCTTTCACACTGTTCTCAGCCACCTGGCCATGTTTCCCCAACACTGATGGAGCGAACTTGGAAGTAATGAAGTGTTTCATTGGGGGGTAGACTGAGCCGAGGAAGGATGCCTAGGGGACTAGTGTGCCTTGTGGGGTCACCAAGGAGGTGGAGGAGTTGCCAGCTAGTCTTTGAACAATGCCAGGCACTGTTTCCAGCTTTTCCCACAAATTCTATCTTAATTCTCTGATTAATAGGAGGTAGGTGCCCTTACCATCCCACTCTTCAAATGATCGCAAAAAAAGGAGGGGCAAAGAGGTGAAGTGACCTTCCCAGGGTGTATAACAGCGTCCAGGGCCTGGGGTTCAAATCCAGATAGGGTGTACTTGAGTTTGTCCCCCATTCTCTGCTTCCTGCTGTCTCATAACACCTGACCTTGGGGGAAGGGTGAGAACACTTAGAGTTAATTTAATACCTTAATCTCTTAAGATCTGAAAATGGGAAAACCAAGCTCCCCTACCCTAAGGGAAGAGCTATGCAAATGTTGGTGGAGAAGCCCCCAGTGCAGGTATTGACAAATGCACAGAATTACATGTGACACAAGGTGTGATAAAGAGAAGCCCAGGGGACTTTTGGTTATATAGGAGGGACCCAACCTAGTTTGATGAGGGTCATAAGGCTTCTTAAAGGGATGACATTCAATTGAGTCCCAAAGAACTGAAGATGAGATTATTCTAGAGCCTAGTGGTGCTTAATTGGGGGAGGGGTTGTGGAAATATCTCTGCAGGGTCCATGAACTTAGAAAGAATCCCAATCATATCTCCAGTGCCACCAATCTCTACCTGAAACTTAATATTTCTTTCCCTTACAAATGCCAGCAACAAATTAAAACAATGTGAGCCCTTAGCTGGGACTTGTCACCCACAAAAATCATGTATGTTCACATCAACATTAAAAATTGTTACAAATAACTTGAAATTTCATTTGTATCCTTTCCTGTTTGAAAATTACAATAGTTATTAGTCTCACCACTAGGGCTTTCTATTTAATATGTTAACAACAAACACACACACACACACACACACACACACACATATAGCTGGGAGAAGTGGCACACGCCTGTAATCCCAGTGAGTTGGGAGGCCAAGAGAGGAAGATCGAAAGTTCAAAGCCAGCCTCAGCAACTTAGCAAGACCCTATCTCAAAACAAGAAATAAAAAGGGCTGGCGATGTGGCTCAGTGGTTAAGTGCCTCTGGGTCCAATCCCTCTTACCAAAAAAAGAAAAAAAAAAAGCTTATATAGTATCATATTTAAAATTGTTCAGATACTTTGACAACTGTATGTGCAACTAATTTCATTATCATCCTATGTAGTCTATGCTTTAAAAAATTATTGGGAGCTGCAATTTACAGGCTTCCACTMTCTGCCAAGGGTCCCATGGCACAGAAAGGGTTAAGAGCTCCTAAAATCTTCGAGGGGAGACTGGGAACTGCAAGTCCTTCTCTGTCAGGGTAGTTCCAGTACCCCATGGAACTGTATGTAGGGAGGAACGTGATTGGAAAGATTGGGGGCAGGGGTATGCGTGTCTACCTGGCTGTCTTTTTGCTGCAGGAGAAAAGCCCAGAGTCAGGAAGGCCCACGGGAGGCTGTTTCAACAATTCAGAGAAGAAGCGCCCGTGGGCTGAACCAAGACAATGGCCATGAACCCTGGCAGTAATGAGGGTGCCGTGGGGAGGGGTGGATGGCAGACCAGGGTGGAGGGGAGAGGGACGAGAGCTTTCTTATTTGGATATTTTGAGTCTCAGATATTTTCTAGAGTTCCTTAGAGAAAYCCAATTGACCCAGCTTGAGCAAAAATAATAATTTATGGGCTCATTAACTGGGGAATCCAAAGGGCAAATCCTCCAGGCACAGCTGGAATTAGGGATGCTGTCAAAGTCWTAAGGCTCTTTCTAGGTAGATCTCATCTCTTCACTGCCTCCTCATAAATGTTAAAAWWTTTTTTTCCTAGAGTAGATTTGCTTCCCATGGCTGAAAAAAAAATGGTCTTAAGTTTATATTTTTATAGTTTGTGCTCCAGAGGAAGAGAGATTTGACATAATCTCTTATGGAGAACTTCTGGTCCTGCTCAGGTCACATGCCTGCTGTGTCCAGAAGACTCTGCACTCTGCAGGAGCCCAGACAGGTGATCAGAGATACGTGGGCACAGTGAGCCGCAATCCTGCAAGGACCGTGCGGAGGCTGGGAGCGGCTGGCTCTCTAAGAAAGATGCTGAGAGATGGAAACATTGTGCCCACGATGAGGAAACCGTGGAACACCTGGACAGTGTCCAGTGGGCAAAATAGATGGTTCTGGAATTCACCCCTTCCCAGCACAGAAGGACACTCAGAGCTAACCCTAACCCGAACCCTAACCCTGTCAATCACCTGCACTGGTGGCTTCTCCACCAGCGCCCTCCAGTGGGCACTTCTGGACTCATCYATCTTCAGCTGCTAAAACCAACCCGCCTTCTAGCTTTTCCTCTTGAGCACCCAGCCCTGGATGTGGGAGACACAGGCTCCTAATAACCGTCTTCCCTTTAAGACACTTCAGGAAGTGGTCAGAGGTGGGAATGGAAACTGCCGACTTCAGAATACCTACAGAATACCTGTAATTAAGAAGGGCCCAGACTGGTAAAAACCAATCACTGGCACCCATTTGGGTCACGCAGATTCTGGTTAGGTGACTTTCTATTTCTGCCATCCGGGCTTAACGGCACTTGTCTTTGAACTCAGTTTTAATTATAAGATTCCCAAACGTGCCATCCGGGTCCCGTTTTAGCTGTTCCCGTAACCCTGGGCAGTGTTTCTGGCTGTCAGGGAAGTAGGAAGGCTCCGGGGTAATTAAATAGCTAGTCTGAAATAGAAAGGGCGGCCCCCAGTTAAGTATGAGCCCTGGAGCCCAGGCTGCCCTGTGTGGGTGTCAGGGCCTTTCATCTCCATCCTCACCAGGGGTGGCCTGGTTGGATAGCAATAGATCTAGCCTGTGACCTCCGCCTACCTGTGACCTCCAGCAAACCAGGTCGCCTCTGTGAGCCCCGGTTTTCCTCATCTGCAGAATGGATCTAATGTTCTCCTACCAGGGCTGGGGTGGGAGGTACAGCAGATGAGAAGATTGCCTTTGAAATGCTGTCACGCCATTCACCAGGAGTGGTTCTCTGTCTCTTTCCCCGAATGCATAACATTTAAYCTGCTTTATTTTATAGTTGGAAGGGGAGAAGCATGTCATGGAGGAAGAAGGGGTGATGTGGAGGTGACATGGGTCCAAGTCTGGCTGCCCGCCACTTGCCAGCGGTGGGACCTCCGACGAATTTCTCCTTCCATGAGCCTCGGCTTGCTCCCCAGGAAATGGGTTGGCAACAGCCACTCTTTTGTAGAATTGAGGGGTCCACTGGATAWTTGTATACAGCCAATCTATGCTTAGTGCCCCTAGCACTGTGACTGCCACCAAGGAGACGCTCGATAAATGTAAGCTGTTACTATTTTTTTTTTTAGTTTCAAAACATGTACGCATGACACAGACAAGTTGGTAGGATGACTTGTCACTGTGCTAAGTTCTTCGTTTACCCTGAGCTGCGTTCCTTCTTTATGCATGGACGAGATTGAGAAGAGAGAGCCACGTCAAACACACAGACAAGATTGTGCATAGAAGGGGGAGGGGGGAGGGAGGGA